CTAGCGTTCCTAATTCATGACCGAACAGGTCAAATTTCTTTTTAAATTCAGTTAAATTTTTTATTTTTAAAAGTACCCGAAATTAAACAACCTTATAATAAACAAAGGTTGTCTAATTTCAGAACGGTACGGTAATAAAGATTATAATAAATCAAACTAGAATCTTCAAAATCGATATTGATGTTGTTCTCAAGAATGTCCCTATAAAAATTTTTGATTTTTTGTATAGGGATAGCAAAAAACTTAACAAAGTACTAATAAATAAGTGCACTTTTTTTGGTAATCAAATGGACCAGCCATAATAATGAAAAGTGTATCACCAATTCTCTAAACAACTGAAAATATAATATGATGCTTTTATGATTCAAACTTTGGGATGCAAAATTAGCATAATTATACTGGCAACAAATAGGCAATAATTGGGTTGCGAAATAGTATACTTCTGGTAATCAAAAGGATTTAGGCTAAGATAATACATATTGCATCTCTAACTTCAGGATACGAAATCAGCATATACATACTGGCAACTAATAGATAATAGTTGGATTGCAAAATGGTGTACTTCTAGAAATCAAATGGACTGTCCATAGAAATGTATATCATACCTAACTAACAAAATTTGTTATATTATATGGCAGAGGGTGTTCAGTGTCATAATAGGATCACAAGACTGACACAGTAAGATGCAGTATAAATTCGACTAACATTATTTCACAATTTCAGCCAGATCTTTGGACATAATAACTTAGCATCCAAGTTGACCTGAAACTGGCGAACTAATAGAATACTTTAGTTCCTACCAGTTCTATGATAATTTTAGGATATTATCAATTTACTATCATAGTGCCAAGCTGGATCCTCAAATCACATGCCTAAAAGATCAGCCAAAATTAATCGCAAATATATTGTACTACCTGATATGATATTTTTTACCATATCATTACCACAGATCGGCAATATTTAAGATAAAAAAAAACAGTTGTATTATATTAAAATCATATAAATATCAGGTTTGATTTTCCATTTTAGGATCTTGATACCCTGATGAAAAAAAACAAAAAAAAACTAATAATTAAAGAGGCGTTAAACCTATTGTCTGTATGTCAAACCCATTGTTCTGCCTGGTTAACTTGAGTTGATATATATTAGAAATAGTAATATATAATTTAGTAATTTTATTTGTTTTATTTTTTTTTTTTTATCTAATATATATTCTAATAATTAAATTTATTTATCAATTATAAGTAATATACTTCTACCGACACCTTCAGAAACAACTTATACAATTTCAAGAGTTGGAACATCTTATCAATGTCTTATATTTAATAAGCAATACAAAAGAGAAGCAGCATACCTTCGGTATCAACAAACTATTATAACATATAATACTATACCTAATGATTGTTATACATTATCTATAAATGCTACAAATGAATTTAGGAAAACAATTGTATTTATGATTAAAGAACTACTCAAATTACATTTCCAATCTACAGGTAAATAAATTTATTATTTTTTTATGCAATTTTAAAGTAACTTAATTCAAATAATTTAATATTGCACTTTTACTTTATAGGTAAACAAAGTATTACATTTCCATGTAGCAAAAGTTTATTTTTTGCAATTTTTGGAGGATATATTCATTATTTTAATTTAAAAAACAAGAGTACAAATGTATATTTCATGAAGAAGTAGCATATGATACTTTAGCTCAATTATTTAATGATCAATTTTGGATGACAAAGTTTTTTGATCATCATCAAAGAACATTTGTATTAACATATGAAAGACCTTCAAATCCTTTAAAAGAATCCGATCCTTTAAAAGAACCTGATCCTTTAGAAGAACCTGATCCTTTAGATGAATCCGATCCTTTAGAAAGGTCTGATTTTTTACAAAATTCTACAATAGAATCACAAAACAAAAAAATTTTTAATAAGCAAAAAAAACTTGTTCAAGTTGTTGTTTCTTGAAAGATAAAACAAAAAAATGATGCTCATAATATTCCTTGTTTTTTAGGGTTTATTAATTTGAACTTTACTATTAGTTATGCATTTATATAGAGTAAATTTAATTTTTATTTTATTTACACTTTTCTGATAGCATGTAAAAATAAATTTTTTTAAATTTTAAAAATAAAATATATAAATTATTTTATTCGAAGTTTTTTAGGTAATTTTAAAGTATTTGGTAAAATATTTTTAAAAAAATATAATACCCGATTTTTAAATTCTAAAATATTCCAAATAGCTGATTTTCGATTCATTTTTTTACCACTATCTTTCATTGTATATCTAAAAAAGAATAATACATAATCATGATTTTTACGTTCAACTGCTAAACATGAAAAAGATTTTAATCCAAAAGGTTTATGTATAGCCATCATTTCATGCACATGATATATAAGTACATATATATAAGGTGTTACATCTTTAGGCATATATAAACCACAAATAAAACTTGAAGTATTAGGTATTTCTAAAGAAGGTGTTAAAAAAAGTTGAAGTTAAATTAATGCTTTTTGTTTAAATTCAATTGGATTAGTTTTAGAATTTTATATTAATTCATATAATTCCAAAAAAAGAATCCCATAAATTTTGAATTTGTTGAGCTCGTGATGATCAAAAAAATTTGTTAAAATTAAAATATTGAAGAACTTTAAGTTTATCAGGTCCCATTAAAGATGTATATTGCCAAGTTTTTGTTTCATAATTTTCATAAAAATGAAAATTAACTTCAATAAGTTTCATCTTTTCCATAATAAGTTTTCGTATATAATCATTCCATTTATTTATTTCTTTAAATTCTTGAATTATAAGTGCCCAAAGATGATTTGTAATTCAGAGTATTACATGTAATTCATCAACTATCCAGTTTTTAATAGGAATAATATTAAATAAAGGTGGTTTAATATGACCAGAATAACAAGTAAAATCCTTTTCTAAACTTTTCATATCTTTTATTATATTCTAGCATTTTGAAAGATCGTCTTGATCATTTTGTGTTACTGTACACCAAGGACAAAAATAATTTGAATTTGCGCAATTTAATCCTAAACAAATTGCTAAAAATTTCCAATCAGAACTAAAATATAATTCAATACAGTAGCGGTCATAAGTATCTGACCGCCCGAGATCATCCAAAATTATTATATAACTACCCCTTAAATTTTCCAGAAATATAATA